TATATATATATCTATTCTGATCTACACTATATATTGTATATATCCAGTGTATATACTGTATATATCTATTCTGATCTACAGTGCTACTCCTCTGTCAACGTCCCTCTGTCACTGGAACACTCTGAAGAAAAGGGCTTATAAAAATATTGTGCTATTTGCAATGTAAAGAATGGTAGTGTGGTGAATACACCTGGCATGGAATGGAGCTGGAGAGTGCTGGTGATTGGCTATGAATCGCTCACAAACCGCACAACAGCATTTCCCAGTGGAACAGACAGAGGGCAAAATGGATAGTTACACTTTGAGAGGGTAGTGTTATGTTTGAAGTGGATTCCATATAGTTGTGTTTAAACTGTGTGTAAAACATACAAAGCAGTTAACTTTCAAAACAGAAGTCTGTCTTGTTCACGACAAACTAGAGTCCGAGTTGAGGCCTTCACATTTTGAGTGATTGCTGGACAGTGACCTCAAGAGTCTCCTTACGGTCAGACAGAAGCTGTTCTTCCTAAAAGCTCAGCACACGACTCTGCGCACAGAAAAATGAAAATTTCACTGAAGGGCAGAGAGTTCTAAAAGAGGAATTCAAGCTTCAGTATGCTGCTGTGTCTTAACTGCTCTTGTCCTGAATTAAGATAAATCAAGCTTCACTTGAAGTTTCTTGGTTATCCTGCAGGTTTGCGAATAATAAATCTCTCAATGTGTTTTGAATGAGACACAAACTGTATATGTTTAAAAATGTAGTAGGGTTTCCAGTGTTTGAAAAACTCTCTGTCCATGTCCCATGTCCCAGAGACAGACACTCACTAGGCAGGTTTCTCTTCTTGGCTGTTTCACCAAGGGGCATGCAGAATATAGAATTATTTAGGTGCATTCAACATGTACTATATAGTCTATTTGGAAGAAGAACAAATGTATGGGATTGCACTTTTTTCAACTGTTAAAAGGTTGACCAATGTGCAGGTGAGTGTGTGAGTGTGGCAGCCACTGTGCTCAAGGGTGAGTCATCCTGGAGAACCATACCTCCCGTGATTGACATTTAAAACACGTGTGGATTCCAAACCTAGAAAACACAGCCCACTGTCATAAAAAGAGCCTGTTTTACAAGCTTCTGGAGAGCAAAAAACATTATCGCATAATTTATATTGGCATGTAGTCATCTTGGACAGCTGAATCCTCAGAAAAGCCTTTTAGGAAGACACGTCAATAAATTACGGAGAGTCTGTTAGGTGCATTAGCTGCTGTTCTGATGCATGCGCCTGTTCTCAGGACAGCTGGGCCTCCAATGTGTTTCTGAAGCACTGAAGAGAAGGACTACAGTGCATCTGCATGAGCAACGCTGCTCTCCGCAGACCAGCCTAGCCGTGACATGATGTGCAAGATTAGGTGCTCTACCTATACTTCCCAGATCCCTCTGTTTCTTCTCTTATTTCTTAATGGAGTACAAGCATCTGCTGTCGCGTCCAGGAGATGGGAAATGACATTCCGAAGGGAATGAGGTTCCAGTCGGGAAGAGCCTCTTGCACGCATGAGCCCGGAGCGCAATGACAGCACATTGACCAGTCCGGGTGCTGTTTTTCACCTCTTTCTTAACAAGTGCACAGTATATACAGCACGAGCACGGATGACACATACTGTTTGTCAGCTCGTGTCACAGGAGCAGCGATAAGATTGTTTTGGCGCTGAGTTTCCCTGAATTCAGTTTCTCTAAATGAGAGTGTCTGCTTATCGTCATGTAAACCAAGATTTTCTCATAATATTCACAAAAAGCTTCTTCTGCTCACCTTCACTCTACTGAAATGCCAAACATATGGGACTCACCTCTACTGACATTTTTTTGTCCATTGTTTACAGTTTAAATTAGGAGATTCAAAATCTATTGCTGCAGAATTTCAGAAACTGTAGCAAATATAAACATCAAGCACTGGAAGGCAGTTAAAAGAGAAAAAAGTTCTCTTAGCCTTTAGGATTGTCAGATCATTCCTTATTCAGGTCCTGTGCTCCGTTTGTCTTTAACTGTTTCCAGTTGAGAGAAACTGCAGCAGAGCTGAGTCGAGACAGAGAATGAGGTCTGATTGATTTTCAGTCCAAGTATGTCACAACGCCAGCTCAGAAACAGCTTTCACTCTGACTCCTACTTTGTCCACTTCATATAGAGAGAATAAACCACAGAATCAAAC